ATTGTGATGGCCAGGCCTGTCATAAAATGCCCCCCCACCAAAAGAGGTTTCTATGAATCCCACCCTCAAGCATTTTTCAGGGTATGGTTCTAGGACTGGTACCAATAAATGGAGCAAGTTTCATGAATGTGACACTTTTATTTTTGTAAGATAGCAAGGGGGGGCATATTGTGATGGCCAGGCCTGTCATAAAATGCCCCCCCCCACCAAAAGAGGTTTCTATGAATCCCACCGTCAAGCATTTTTCAGGGTATGGTTCTAGGACTGGTACCAATAAATGGAGCAAGTTTCATGAATATGACACTTTTATTTTGTAAGATAGCAAGGGGGGGCATATTGTGATGGCCAGGCCTGTCATAAAATTCCCCCCCCCCCACCAAAAGAGGTTTCTATGAATCCCACCCTCAAGCATTTTTCAGGGTATGGTTCTAGGACTGATACCAATAAATGGAGCAAGTTTCATGAATGTGACACTTTTATTTTGTAAGATAGCAAGGGGGGGCATATTGTGATGGCCAGGCCTGTCATATAATGCCCCCCCCCCCCCCCCAAAAAAAGAGGTTTCTATGAATCCCACCCTCAAGCATTTTTCAGGGTATGGTTCTAGGACTGGTACCAATAAATGGAGCAAGTTTCATGAATGTCACACTTTTATTTTGTACGCATAGCATATATGCTGACAAAGACTATGTAACATTTGTAAACATATTTTGATTATTAGATGACAACTATGTAAAATTAAACAATACATTTTAAAGGACGTTTATACAGACAGGACGTAACAATAATGATAAAAAAAAACATTTAAAAAAACAAACTGAAAAGGAAGTGACGAACGAATTTCGACACCTCAAATACGGAGTGAAAAGTTAAACCAGAAGAATCAAGACTATGAGCTACCACTAAACAACTCACAGTCTGAAAATTACCATTAATAAAAACCCTGAACGTTTACTTTTCGTTTTAAACATCGTTTTAAGGTGTAAACCTATGGTGTTAACGTGTCATTTAGAGGTGAAACGTGTCATTTAGAAATGCGCGTTCCCGTGACAAGGGGGGCATTTCATGACGGGGAGGCATAATGTGACACAACACCGGCAGCCGTAGCTAGCCCCCTGCGGCTCCGTTAGCTTCGGCCAGCAGCGGAGCCCGGAGTTATAACTGGAGATCAAGGAACGCAGCGAAACGCGGACTTGGTTCGCCTGCAGCCTGCTATAGTATTACAGATGTAGCACCTAATTTCGGACAGTTTGAAACGCGAGGGCCGTGATTGGTACGTGATCTGCCCTCACTCAAGGGAAAACCTCCAGCTTGACTTGAGACCTCCCCTGTGATGAATAAATGTAATTATTATGAAGCCAGCTGCAATGGATTATTGATCCACCAGGGGGTGCAGTGGGGTTCCACACTGGAGCTCATGTGAAATAAAGTCAGATACAGTACGCTGGATGTACAGCGGAACTTTGTTAAGATCCATATGTCACGGATATCATACTCTGTGCTAAATAAGAGACATGTAATCATTCACAAACATCACCATGTTGTTATTTAACAAATAATGTTGTTTAGTCGTAAAAAACGAATGGGAGGAAATGCAGCTCGGCTCTCGATTTTTAATCCTAATTTAATCATCATCTTCACCACGATCATTTATGTTTATGTTCGCCGAATTGACATGAAATCACTGACACATGAATATACTGTATTCAACTTCATTAAAACGTTATTAACGTGCCTAAACTCAGTAATTCACTAAAAATATTTATATTTTAATGGAGCCTCGTCGGAAGATCAGGATCCCAACGCGTAGCGGAGGGATCTTGAGCTGCATGAAGGGTGTTATTTTCCCCTTAAGAATCAAGTCGCTGCAAATTATCCCGCTTATTACATGGCCACATTCTCAACAAAGTAACGACATGACTCCCAATATTAATTGAAATGCTTTTATGGATTTAGAAAATGTTTTTATTGATTTAAAAAATAGTTGTATTGATTTAAATTTACATGCATCCGCTAAGAAAAATAGTCCGTTGTTACCGTGTTTTAAACAGTTTGAATGAAACGGCAGCTCTCAGCTGTGTATTTAGTTTCAACTCCCGCCTGCTCCAGCCTGATCCAAATAAGGGCAAAGAGGCGGAGCCGAGGCGGGACCTGCTGCCTCCGAACTGGAAGTAAACAGAGCTAGCTCAGGCTAAGAAGCTAAGCTAACATGAAATACATGCATACCAAGTTACTGCTAACAGTGTAGTTCCCCTATATAAACGTTACATTCATAATCAAATGAGACAATCTGCAAGAGAATTAGCTATATTTTGTTATTCTTAATGCTTGTCATTCACACGTTAAGAAAAGAAGTACCGATACATAGAACAATTGTGGCGATGTTCAGCTTAATAAGCCTTATTCAACATAATTTATTAACTAATACTACAGCAGGCGAACCAAGTCTGCGTTTCTCTGCATTCCTTGATCTCCAGTTATAACGACGGACTCCACCGCCCGGACCTAACGGAGCCGCAGTGGGCTAGCTCCGGGACCGTTAGCTCCGGCGGCCACCACTGGGATAATTGGGTCCCCTATTAACATTTGCTCCCGTTTAGCATTATGGGCGTCATAGCCATAGACTATAAAAGTCTTACCCAAGGCTGAATCATAAACTAAAATGTATATGTATGTATAAAGTGTTACGTCCTTAGCTGGCTAATAAGTAACAAGCTAAGCTACCAAGCACACAAACACCTGCGAACGGGGTTAACATGTATAATATTATCATTTTAGACTTCTTGGAAGTTCTGTTAGTACATTCAAGCGCACAGCACGACATTTTAATTGTCTGGTATTTGTAACAATATTCCCTAAAAGGCACAATCACCACGAACACGGCTAAAGGTAAAGGGTCAAGTACAGCCTTGCCTTGCCTTGCCTTGCCTTGCCTTGCAGTACTATGACTAACTAACGTTGTAGCCTAGCAGAGTGGACAAGTTGCTGTTAGCTGACAGTGAGGCATGTACATGTCCATCAAAGTGACCACGCCCTAATTTATGCAAAAACGTTAAGACCTAATATAAATAAAAGGGTCGTGTTAGAAAACAATTCACTCACAGATTCATAATCATGAAGGTGGAATCTAACTATATCGATAATAATATTTATTGCATCCATGGGTAGAAACATGTTTTTTTCTGCTGTAAAGTTGGGCATTTTAACATCGGGGTCTATGGAAATGACTCCTTTCTGCAGTCAGTCCCTAGCGGCCCATGTATGAACTGCAGTGTATGGCACTTCCGTATTGGCGTCCCGGCTGTTCCCCAGAGTTTGCCGCTTGGTTTAAACGCAGACTTTTGTTCCTCCATGTTTCGTTGTTATTGTTTCATTTTTTTCAAACGCTCCCTTTTTTTTGGTCCATCTGCGGCGGTAATAGGTTTTGTGCGCTGTGATGATTCGGCTGTTCCTTTAGTAATGAATATTAAATGTTGTGAGGAAATCTTTCCAGCAATAAAGTAATCCAAAATGTATTCACTTCAGGTTTACGAAAGTAACTGTAAGAGACTTTAATATTTTATTGAAAAAAAGTTACATTGCACACACACAACACACATCACACAAATTGACCCGATTGGCGGTTCTAGTGTTAAATAAACTCACTAATTAATTAAACCAGTTCAATACGCATTATTCTTATTCTTATCATTCTTTATGAGCGCAGAAATAGTCTTAAAATCAGACCTGTTTTTTAAATGAAATCTGACGGCAGGCAGTTAGCTCTGATCACCTATGATAAATGCGCCACACCTAATCGCTGGCCATTCAGCCACAGAGCTCCCTCAATACAAATCAAACTGTAGACGGTGTGAAAGCACCTATTGTTTTAAATAATGGTCGGAATGTGACCTGTGAGCCTTCTGAATTACCGTGGGACAGCACATTCTAAACTAAAATGTTCAATAAAGTAACATCTTATCTTAATAATATCTTCATATTAATAATAATAATAAAGACGAAATCAACACACGGCAATTCAAAGTGCTTTACAAAAAATGAAAGACATTAAGAAAATGGCATTTAAAATCAGTCATTAAAAAGAAAAGATAATAAAATAAACATTAAAAGAAAAAGTACATGGATCAAAGTTACAGTGCAGTCTAAATATGAATAGTTCAATTAAAAGCAGCGACAAAAAGAAAAGTCTTCAGCCTGGATTTAAAAGTAGTAAGAGTTGCAGCGGACCTGCAGGTTTCTGGGAGTTTGTTCCAGATATTTGGAGCATAATAACTGAACGCTGCTTTACCATGTTTAGTTCTGACTCTGGGGACAGAAAGCTGACCAGTCCCCGAAGACCTGAGAGATCTGGATGGTTCATAATTTAGCAGGAGGTCAGAAATGTATTTTGGGCCTAAACCATTCAAAGCTTTATAAACCAGCATTTTGAAATCTATTCTTTGACACACAGGAAGCCAGTGTAAAGACTTCAGAACAGGAGTGATGTGATCCACTTTCTTAGTGTTAGTGAGGACTCGAGCAGCAGCGTTCTGAATCAGCTGCAGCTTTCTAATAGATTTTTCAGTGAGACCTGTGAAGACACCATTGCAGTAGTCCAGTCTACTGAAGATAAAAGCTTAAAATCAGACCTGTTTTTTAAATGAAATCTGATGGCAGGCAGTTAGCTCTGATCACCTAATGATAAATGCGCCACACCCAATCGCCGGCCAATCAGCCACAGAGCTCCCTTTATACAAATCAAACTGTAGACGGTGTGAAAGCGCCTACAGTATTGTTTTAAATAATGGTCGGAATGTGACCTGTGAGCCTTCTGAATTACCGTGGGACAGCACATTCTAAACTAAAATGTTCAATCAATAAAGTAACATCTTATCTTATCTTAATAATATCTTCATATTAATAATAAATCATATAGTATGTGTAAGTTGTTCATGCGTTATTAAGTGAATATGGCATTAACCCTCCTGTTGTCTTTGGGTCGGTTTTCATGTATTTTTGTATAAAGGTTTCCTTTAGGTGATCCAGACAGGCTGGACCAGTGGGTGCTGAACATCCGGAGGAATAAATGGACCCCCAACGTTTCTTCTCGCCTGTGCAGTGAACACTTTGAGAGTCATCACTTCAGCACGGACTCATGGGTACAGATCCTTTTTTTTTTTTTTTTTAAATAACTTGGTTCCATTTGTGAGTGTAAATTGTTGTTACTAATTAAATACATTTTATACATCATACAATGCTAAATAATTGTTATGGCACAGCTTGCACATCAGTGATGAGTAATGTTCTTTTGATTAAAGGCCAAATTAAGATTTTGCCAGAAACATAGAAACATATAGAACATATAGAAACATAGAAATCGAATTTTTTTGCAAACCATCACATTTCTCTTCAATTTATGCAAAGACTCTTTATCATAGATAGAGAATTGCCATTTTCCCCCACGTACTCTGTAGAGGAAACTTCTGTGTAGCTATGCAGTGGGAGTCACCGACTCAGGAAGGAGACACGGGAAGAGCTGGAGCTTTGATGTCAAACACATGATGGTTTATTTGGAGTTAACGGCCGGAGGATTCACATCACAAGTCCAAGAGTCAGAGGTTCTGACTTCACGGTAGAGTTGCCACGTCAATTCTGAAGAACTCTACCCCAGACCCATGTATTTAGCTAGTTCAGAGAGCATCATCAACATGCTGCATAACAAGATAGAATGATAACACCTTTATCAGCTGACGCCAACAGGCAGGAACAGGGAGACAAAACACTGAGAGCACAGCAGCCAAGGTTACTGGTGCCTGTGCTCAGTCAGGACAGTTTGAACTGATACACTGGGTCAAAGTTATGGGCCTTGGAAAATATTCCACAACATACTCTATTAAAAACTGATGAATTATATTACCTTTTTTTACATTATTTTAATAGCAACATTCATTCATCTGTTGTCATCTTATAACTTATTTATCTTAACAGCTATCACTGTAAAAAAAAAAGGATTTAATTTCATTTTACTATACAATATTTATCTTTACATTCTGTTCTTGCATATGTCTTATTATATTTATGTGTATATAGATTTCTGCCTGCACTAATTTATTATTCTTAATTTTATTTTATTGTTTTATGTCTTATATAACTATGTTGCATTGTTGGAGGAGCTTGGGACAGATGATTTTCATTGCCATTCCTACACTGTAGCCTATGTGCTATGACATAAATCCTTTGAATCTGAATCTTGGAAACACGTAATTGTTGAATGGATTAACTGCATAGTTAACATGTTGGCCCTCTATTGTCTTTTATAATGCACTCTTAAATTTAAAACAACATTATTCAAAAGAAAGTTGAATATCTACAGACCTCAAAAAGTTATTTTATGTGTTTTTGTTTATTATTTTTATTAGGGAAGGAGATGCCTGAAAAACACTGCAGTGCCCACCATTTTCTATCTCACCAATGGCAAAGAACAACAGCCTAGAAGGAAAAGCAGGGTGAGGAACAATGACAAGGTAAGTGACACTCCTAGTTGGACTGTTAATAGCAATGAGGAGGAGGTTGCAGATGTAGACCATGGTAGTGGTGAAAACAGTCTTGCTGCTGATCAGAGCAATATCATTATGATACAAGACACACCTGAAGAAGCCTTTGTTGTTCAAAATGTCGAGCATAATGACATTCCAACAGTCAATGCTTGTGAGGATGTCGGTTTGGGTAGCAGCAGCCAACAAACAAAACAAATTGGAAAACAGGCAGACTCCGCCTCTGTTCACTCTTACACTTGGGCTTTAAACGGGTCATACTGAATAGTTTGTGCACACATTTTTAACATGTGATCTTTCTTTCATGTAGGACGCTTGAGGGAAGTTGCAACGCCTCGGCCAATGTGATGTCTTCTCCACGTGAAAGAGATTGAAGGCATAACTTATAACTTGAGACAATTTTCCAAAAGTTATGACTTTTATTTGCTTAGGTAGTAATGGATTACATCTAACACGAATCAAGATCGTATAGAAAAAAAGGAAAGTGTAATCCTTAGTGACATAGGAAAAGATGTAATCGGATTAGTTTTACTTTTTTTAATAATAGGGAAACTCAGGATTACAATCTTATTCAAAACCTAAAAAGAGCATATAGTGTTTGTTTTAAAATGATCATATTGTATCTCTTCTCTGGAAGCGGTACTGTTCTGTAGGATAATACTTTAATTGTGAATATATACACCTACTGCCTGAATCTGCTTTATGGTATTATATTATACATTTAAGTAAAACAAATCATATTAATATTTCTTCTCTCCTGTGTTTATTTGCATTGCATTTGATATTGAGGTAATCCAAAAGACAAATAAAGTTATCAGGTTACATTACTTTTATATCTTGATACTCACATTAAGTTACTGGTTGCGTTTTTGGCAAGTAGCCCTCCCAACCCTGTACATAAGTTATATCATTTTAATTACTGATACAGTTGTTGCACATCTTTAAATTTATTTTCTAGTGTACTTAAGTCATAAAATGATTCGAAACCTTTACTTTTCATAAAATGCAAGATGTAACTTTCAATGTGGCTTGTGTATTTATAACATTTTCAATGTGAAATAGATCTGATTAAATAAAGAGTAAAAGCACAATCTTAAATGTTGACATTTATCATTTTCCTATGCTTATTGTTAATGAAGTGGTGTTATAAACAAAATGTTGTCGTGAAGGAAATTAAGATGTTTTATTTGTTGACAAAAGATTTATTAAAGTTGATGCTCACAACTATCAAGCACAAGTACGGGCACGAGCAAAAAATAGGACTCAAGAGCACAACCAGGCAATAAGGTCTTTAGTCAAGCGTTTAATCCAAAAGGTAAAAATAAAACAGGCAATGATCAAAAAATGTACTGACTTGAAGTAACGAAAAACAACCAACTAAGTTGGCGGAAAACTACTAGAGAAGCAACAAAAAAACAACCAACTAGGTTGGTACAAATGCTAAGCAGCTAGAACAATAGCTTACGTCAGAAGAGAAACATGGAGCACTTTCTGCTATACAGACAAGACGAACTGGCCCTGACCAAGGAAACAGCACAGACTAAATACACAGGTGAGGAGTGATCATTAGGGACAGCTGAGGCTCATTGAGACCAGGCAGGTGATTAACAGGGAGCGAAAATACACAGGTGAGGGAGTGAGGTGATCAGCCAGGGCCAGGATGTGACACAACATGTGGGAACATTTATTGAGAAAAATGTTTCTATTGTAAAACAAATATTTATCTGCATACTGAACAATTTCGAAACTCTCTAAAAGGTATTATGTTCTGTGATGTTACGACCCTGTAGGGATTGTGGGTATTGCACTTCATAATTACATTCTATTGCTTATGACCAGTGGCGTTTCTAGGTGTACAAAACTGGGGGGGCAGAAAGAGGTCGGGGGAGATAGAGAGAGAGAGAGAGAGGGGGGGGACAGAGAGAGGGAGGAGAGAGAGAGGGGGGAGGAGAGAGAGAGGGGGAGTGTCAAATTACATACTGAAGACCACAGGAGCAACACTGTGAGCGCATACATTTACGTACACAGCGTGGGGATGTCATAGTAATGCACCTTCATACATGGAGTAAAGGTCACCATCACAAAGTAATTCTTAACAATAACAACAACCGTAATGCTTTAGCATTAAAACACCATAGACTGTAAATATAAGGAAAACACAGACACTCATCATCGAGGTCACAATATCAATCGATCCAGCAGAGGCAAAACACAGAAGATCAACAAAATATATGACATAAATGAACTTACCAAAGCTGAAGGCTCACTTGAAAAGAAAAGCGGCACGGGGGTCCTTCCTCTGACAGAATGTGTCTATCACTTTGGGGATGAAGTCCTGTAGTTGCTGGATCAACTGGCTTTCAATTGAAAGCATGGCCAATGCGTTAAGTCGCGGCTGTCCCATGGTGTTGCGAGTGAAAGTCTTTATCCTTTTGAGGGTGGAAAAGTTCCTCTCTGACTCGGATGTCGTCATCGGAGTTGTCACTATTATTTTGACCAAAATAACAGTCTCAGCAAACGTTTCCTCCAAGTTGTTCTCGTGAATGGATTTCAACAGAGACATGGCAGTGTTTCCAGTGTGAAGCTCACTGTGGCGGTAGAGCGTGGTCAGCTCAGACTTCAACTTCTCCTTGTTTCCCAACGCAGGCCACAGTTTCACGGCGCAGTCAAGCTCAGGTGTAGGAAATGACAGGACATGCTGTGGGAAGAATGAGCTGTCAACAAGCTTTGCAGCGATCAAATGGTCACTCTGTGAGAACCTCTGTTCCACCTGTGAGATGACTGTGTCACAAGCCTCCTTCATCACCGGCGCTGTGCTGCTGACTCGTCGGCCTGGCTCGTCTGTTCCATCATGAGCAGTGGCGGCCAATGCATCAGTTTTCTGCCTCATTTTCTGAACATTTTCCTTGAAACGGCAGAGCGCGCTGTTGATCCCAGGTGCATCGATGCTTCGTTTTTGCAGAGTGTTGTATAGAACATCCACTTCTGGCATAAGCAACGAAAAAAACTCCAGGAGCTGCATAAATGCTCGGTCCCGCAGTTTCTTTGACAGGCCGTATGCCTCACTTATGGTGACCGCATCCCATCCTGGTTGTGCGCGTATATGCTTCATACACTGAAGTAGTGCATCTCGGGTCTCCCAAACCGCGTTCACAGTTCTGCTTTTAAAGTTCCATCTCACAGCCGGTGGCCGTGGGATGCGTCTCTGTGTTGCCTCTGCAAGAGCTGCAACACGTTTTGGAGCACCGGAGAAAAAAGTGGAAAAAGCAGTTAGATCTGCAAAAAACACCTTCAGGATGCTCATCCTTGCTGAACACAGTTGCTGCAGGGTCAGGTTCAGTTGGTGGGCGTAGCAGTGAACAAACTGAGCGTTTGGGTACGTCTCCTTCATCACCGTCTGTACCCCGCGCACGTTACCGCTCATGACGGCCGCCCCGTCATAGGTCTGAGCGATTAGCTTTTCTTTCAGCTTCAGGGGTTCCAGAACAGCCTTGATGCTGTTAGAGAGACCTACACCAGTTTTGTCCTTTACTTCCATAAACTCCAAAAAACGCTCTGTAACTGTGAGGTCAGGCATAATGTATCGCAGCACAATCACCATTTGCGATTTACAGGAGACATCGGTTGTCTCGTCGGCCTGAACGGCAACAAATGATGTGTTGTCCACTTGCTTGGCTGTTTCCTCCCTGTACACATCATACATGCAGTCCAAGAGTTCATTCTGTATGGTGCTTGATGTCCCTTTGAAAACAAGCTGAGCTTCGTAGTGCCGTTGAAGCCTGGAATCGCCCTCACACATTGTCTCGAAAATTGACCTGAATATCCCTGGATTCAGAGAGTCCGCCGACTCGTTGTTAGGGATGGGTATCGTTTGAAATTTATCGATTCCGATTTCGATTCCGGTTCTGCTTATCGATTCCGGTTCTTATCGATTCCCCGTTTCGATTCCAAAATTGTAAAATAAAGAGGTCAAACGTTTAGATAACACAAATATATGTATTCTTAAAAGCTTTAACTGAAATTGTTACTAAAAAATATACATGCAATACAAATGTATTGCACAATAGTTGTGCTTTATTTTAACGGAGCTATGCCTGTGGCAAGCTATTAACAGGCATTACACTTTGCCTTTTCTTTTTCTTTTTTAGTGTAGTGGAGCCTCACTTCAGAGTGTTTACCGCGACCTATCTTTGGTGTTATGAAGTGACTGAGCTCGTGAAATGTCTACGGGAGGGCGGGGGAGCATCGCTGCGGGGCAACTGTGGACCTCTGTCGCCTGTCAGCGAAATTTATATGATGCCGTTTAAAAAAATGAAGGGCAGTGCCGGCCGTCAGCGTACCGAGCCGGCCGTCAACGGCCCGCTGACGACCGGCCGTTCTGTGATTCTCCAGGTCCGCCCTGTATTCCACCGGGTCACCGCAGCACCGCGGTGCAGACGGACCCGCTGGAATACAGGGTCTACCGCGTTTAGGAACCGTTAAGCAGAACCGAAATTGTGTATTTTGTATGGGTACCCGGTACCCGGCATTTTCTTATCGGTTCTCATCTGGAACCGAGTTTCGGTTCCCAACCCTACTCGTTGTGGCCCCGCAGTGCTGTCTCACATTTCCCACACAGTTTAATACAGGTGATGATCCGACCAAGCACGTACCTGTTTTCTTCCACCTTCCTATTATGAGATTCAATGCCGCGTCTGTAGGCGCTGTCAATCTGAGCTGCAACATTCACCCTTCCAAGTAATCCCAATTTTACGGCATTTTCCAAATGACTGTTGCTGCTCTCATGCTTCATTGTCCTCTCCGAAAGATGCTTTAAGTCCTTGTAACCTGTCCTCGACCAAGTACCTTGATCTTCACCAAAAAGCAGGCAAGGAAAGCAAAAGAGGGAATTCTTCTGGATGCTCGCCGTTAGCCATTTATTTTTAGCAAACCACTCAGCGTTAAACCCACGTTTAACTTTGCCCGCAGTCTGGACCATTTGGAAATCCGGTGGATGGTGGGCACCGAGGCGCTTTACCTCCAGTTTCTCTCCGAGACTAAGTGTCTCAAATGTGTGCTCCAGTAAATGGTCAACTTCATTCATTTTCTTTCAGTTTTTTACTTCTTTTAATCGCTGGTGATGTTAGCTATATGCTGCTCTCTCGTCTCCTCTTCAAACTACACGTGACGTTTCGCAGCACTGCACACGTGAGTACTTACAGCCAATCAATTCTGAATTATGTGAGATGACGTATGGTGGGGATGGGAGCACTATGCCCCTACGGTCATTATTTTTTTGCCACACACATTAAATAGAAAAATACTCTGAGCATGCGCAGTGTAGTTTTTACAATCACCGTTCACTTAGACTGTGAGAGGGAGGGGCAGGATCGGGTTTTGTCCCACATGGCTCTAAACAGCTCAAAACGGCACTCTAGACACTAATTAGAAGAACACAGACTAAAACAGAAATGTACAGACGAATCAGATTATTAAACATGACCTTAAAATATATTTTATATGTTTTTTTATTTATTTTTTAGTATTTTTTTGTAATCATTATTTGTAATACTTTCTTCTGACACTAGGTGGGGCTGTGCCCCACCTGCCCCTAATGACCCGCCGCCACTGCTTATGACATATTTGATGCCAACATACATGGGATTAGGGGAGTCCTTCTTGTTGTTTGCATTGTCACTGATACATGACAGCGTAGTATTCATTGTCAAGATTTTGTGTTTTTAACTTGGGACTCTTTTGAGACTGCTATGGCTTGGGAAAAGATTTGAGCCTTAATGTGTAATGTTTTCTGTATTGTATGGTTAGCTTATCCTTTCATTTGATAGTCGGATTTGGATGTGATAGCTAACATTTTCAGTAAGCAGTAGACAAAATAAGTGAAAATATGAATG